TGTAATTTATCTAGATAGAGGGTGTATAAAAACTGTAAAAACTAAATTAGGTCAACAATTATTTATTGTTATAATCGATTATAATTAAAATAAATTTTATTTGAATAAATTTGTTGAAAAATAATTTTAAAATATTTAATTTTATTTGAGTATGACAAAATAATTAATTTTTATATAGTAAATCAACTTAAAAAAAACTATTAAAAAATAATCATAAGTTTCACAATTTCAGCATTATAAAAAATCTTACCTTTTAGAAGGAAAAGAAAAACTGTTCACAAATTTAAGTTAATGTCTAAAACATATAACTTATTTTACAAACAACTTTTCCTTAAAAAAAAGTAGCTAAATGTGGGGATTATAAGTTATCCCAAATATGATTTGTTTATATACATATGTTTAATCCAATTAATGGATATATTTCGAATCTACATTGATAATCCCAAGATTTACAAAGTGTTTATCATTGCTTAGGATGATTCTTTAAATTATGATGTCAAAGTCTTTGTCAAGGATTACCAAGGTACAATGAGATTATTAATTGATCAAGTTGAGGCTACAAAAATGATCACTTGATCAAGGATCAGGATAGTATGTGTTGGACCTCTACGATAAATATAATAAAATATTCATTATTTAGTTATTGATCTTTAATATAGATTATGAAATAAGAATAAATAATATAGAGTATAGTGTGAAAACATAATTTTACTTATAGTCATTATTATTACAAAGAAATCATATAAATATTAGCTAGATAAGGAAAATTTAAAGAGCCAGAATAGAGAAATCTTCTAGTATTTGCCTTTTTTGAATGTGTAAATTGCATCATAGGTTTTATATAGACAGGAACAAGGACTCTTCATAAATTCAGAAATGTAATTTTTCTTTAATTCGACTCTTTCATTAAAAATTAATAATGCAGAAATTTAAAATTTATAACGGTTATATATCAATTCTAATTATGAATCACTTAATTGTTAATGATAATCTTTATTGTTGACAATGGCACAAAAAAAATAATCACACATGAATCATGGTTATATTTTAGATTAAACATTTCCATGCATGTATTACAATATGTAACCTTTTCTTAGTAAAATATATGTCCTAACTTTATTAATTCAATATGAATCCATTCATGACTAATTTTAACGTGTACAAAATTATAAAATCAAAAAAGATAAATTTTAATGCAAACCTTTGAATGTATAATCCTAAAATAATATACTCTCTTTTGAGTGTATGATCCTAAAACAATATTTATCACATTATATACTACTTTGTTAAACATATTTATCAAATATTCGCTGAGTAACAAAACAAATAGGTCTTTAATATATTGAATGAAAGAAAAAAGGAGTAAGTGAAGAAGGAAGGAACTAAGAACTTAACATAACTCAGCTGCTGCAAGCCAAAATAGCATGTACAACTAATATTCATTCAATATCTCAATACAATACAAATAACATACCTCTTTGTTTATTTTATTTTTCTCCAGTAGGTATTTGTTAAAAATTTATCCAAAGGGGCTATCAGATTTTCCCTATCATCTTAAAAAATAAAAAATAAAAAACTCTTTATGATCCTTTCAACAGATCAATTCAAGTGCCCCCAGCATATATATATTTAATACAATGAAGAGATGATTTTTCAATGTGATTTTTCAGAGGGGTGTGGACTTTCTTTTTACCTAGCTGGTACTTAATTATTGTGTTAGCTAGTTCACTGTTTATGCACCCATTGTTAATTTTCTTTTCACAATATTCCTAAAGCAAATATTAGGGGCAGACAAGGCCAGGTTGGTTTTGAGTTTAGAGAATATTTATATACAAATATCGATTAATACCAACCCGATCTCATTTGCGTTGATTCAAAATTTCCAACCAATCTAAATTGTTTTACTTCGATTTAGATCAAATTGATTGGATGATTGGATTGACCAAACGTGATCATATATAATGCTTTTCCTTATATAGGCCACGAGAAGATGCATGCTTTATTCCATGGCAAGAAAGAAAATCAAAGTTCGTGACAGAGTATCCATCCGCATATACCTCTTGGGAAAACCAAAGAGACAGAAAAAGGAGAGGGGGGAGTCCTCATTATATACTATATAGTACGAGGCTAGTGACATGAAACTCTTCACGTACCATTAATGGCATGCATGTTGTTCTCTATTTTTCCATTTCACTTTCTTCTGTCACGAGAAGTTTCAAAATACAGAGCTTTCCTGCTTAATTAATAACAAAAATTGGAAATGAAATTCTCCATTTTCAGTACTATTTTGAACTTACGTGTGAAACCAGTAACCACCACTAAACTTTGCCGCTTAAACATAACACTGTTAATATTTTCCCCCTTCATTCATCTGAAAATGACTTTAAAAAATGAAATACGTACGGGCAGATCTTAATTAACAATATACCATACTTAAAGTAACGGTGAGACTCCAGAGAGCGAGGATATAATATTAACCCGAAGAGAAAGAGAATTTTGAAACATGGTAAACACAATTGCGAATTATCAATCCCAATAAAGAGAATTACAAATAGAATAAAAAGCAATTTATATAATAATCCTAATTAGTAAAAGGTAAACAGAGCTAAACATGCATTGAATTCTTATATTTTACTAGTTAGAAAGTGCATAATAAGACAAAGGTAAAAAGACAAAAAACTGTGCTAGAGTTACTTCTGTGCTCTGTCTTCCAATAACTCGGACATGTACAAGCAGTGCGTGGGTATTATAATAATCCAGGAGCTCAAAGCCATATCTAGAAAGCTGCACATCTGCTACTGAATCACTTGGATCTTAAAAAATAACGTGGACAAATATAACTATAACAAAACATGTTATTAGATGCATGAATATATCACAAGTATCTTCATAAAAGATGCTCAATTTTGCTTGATCGCAAGTGAATTTCGAATTTAAATATTAAGTATACAACTGTGTTAAATATTAAAAAAAATATATTATATTTCATAATGAAAAGAAATATCTTATATTTCATAATGATCATATTCCACTCAAATAGGAATAACTTAAATAAAAATATATGTAATCTATTATACACAAAAATAATGAAAATGGCCACCTGAAAAACTTTTCTAGTTTGCAAGAGGTCCGAAATTAAGAATCAAGCTTCTTACAATAATCAACACACAGTACTCTTGGAGTTTTATTGCAAGAATTTAATTGTTGCGTATAACTAAAGTGCATATCACTAGACAAGCCTGGACCCTCCACTCTCTTAAGAACATAGCAAGAGTTTGTGTAAATCATTTGGGTTTGATGACACGCAACTTGTGTAACGAGTAACAGTTTGTAAGTGTACGAAACATGCATCTGGTATACACTCATAGATACCATTAACAACTTAACTCCCATCTCTTATTTCATATGAACTTTTAGATGCCATGCTAGTAAAAGTAGTGCATGCATTTAATGGTACAGAATAGAATAGCAGGGGTAAGTATGGGCTAAATGAGATTAATCCCAAACAGAAACTGGAAAATGCCTAATTCTTGAAACCTAATTCTTAGTAGGAGACTTGGTCAATGGGAATCACATGCTATGTCAACTTGCACTAAGAAATGAAAGGGTTATTAATTAGCTAATGAGTGCAAGTGCACCGCACGCTAAGTAAAGCTGTGAGTGACAACACTGGCATATATAACTTCTACTACTTCTGCCTCAGCAAAAACGAAGTCTTTTTGTGGCATGCATTGGTCAAGATTTGTTCAGGATTATAATAAAAGATGTCAACTTGACATTGGGACTCAATATAATAGTTTGCTGGTCAAATAGTGGGCCAGCTAAAACAAAAAGATTGGTGCTAAAATAAAAAAAAATAAACTGTGAGAAGATAATGATAAAAAAAATGGAAAATAGAAAAGAAAAGGTAAATACAGAAAATTAAGCTAAAACTAAATGTTTGGGACAATTAGATGAAGTTTATTATTTTTCTTTATTTATAAATTTAGTAGTTTTCATGCATCACTTCTCCCTAACTGCTTGATTATGTTTGAAAAGCATTTTTCCTCCTCTAAAACCTCATCTCCAAATTATCCTTGTGATGGCGATGGTTGTGTTATAATTGTAGTTTTTTTTATTTATAGAAATAGTATAATAGTATAATCTAAATTCCAATTATACTAATTCTCTGTAAATTCTAATATTTCTCTCTAAACGGTTTTTTTTTGGCAGCGTTCTAATTACGGTGTTTGAAATGTTAATAAATTATTGGAATGAAAATAGTGAGAATTTTCTTCACTGAAATTGTGGCATTATTAGCCTCAAGTGGAACATAATAATTAAATAAAATCCTCTTTAAAATAACCATTTAATGGCTAAATTATGAAAATATGCCAAGGTTAGTTCATTATAAAGAACTTGATCCACTTTATTTACTGTGAACTATAAATGAATCACTACTAACCTATAAAAAATTTTACACTACTAACCTATAAACTACCAATCTCGTAAAAAATTTACAGTCAATTATAAATCACATACAACCAATTCAAAGTTAACGGAATTAACCAAAAACATCTCCACGTCACCCATGAATTAGTCTAAAGTAGGATAAGTAGTACTTGATTTCCGTTGCCCCTAAACGAATTAAGTTGTGTGTGATGATTCATGCCAACCGCCAAGTTCCCCGAAACGAGTGGAATATGAAGTTAAAAATTTGATCCTTATATAAATCAGTAAAAACGCTTTGATTTATTTATTTCCTTTTTGCACCAAACTTATACAGAAAAGACTATTCCAAATCAAGTCGCAGCAGCAATGTCCTTTTTTCCTTCATTTGTCCTTCCTTCCTACTATAATCTCAAAAATACCAGATATTTCCCTGTGCATGTGGACCCCCCTCGTAGGAACTAGGAAGTCCTCTTAATTTCTTATAGGCGACGTTATTATGTCCACAGTACAAGCTGTTATAAACATCATACATTGTGTATGGTCATTTCTCCAACCATTTTGGCTTGTGGTCGAGGTTAACATACTGAACAATTTATTCCATGTTAAACCGATGCATATTCGTTACAGCTTATTCCCAGAACTTACGTGGGAGGACGTTCTATTTTTGGCCATACAACTTTACATTCACTTTCTACACGTGTTTTGGTACTTACAAAAACAAAAAGAACTACAAAATTTAAGGATTGAAAACTTAGTAGGCACCTAATACAAACTGTAAAACAAAGCAGAAACTACAAATTCAAACTACTAACTCTATTCACCAACCATCTATAAATTTTTCTACCTACAGGCATATGAGAAGATGGTTTTTCCAGAACTGCTAGTCATAATCTGGAGTGACGAATTTCCCTTCACTACAAATTCAAACAGGTCAATCCATTCACCAGCCATAGATAGGATTTTCTACCTGTGGGGGCAAGAGATGAAGGTCTTTACAGTGCTGCTTATCGTAGTCACGTGTCCCGGGTATTGCTCCTGTACATAATCTCAGGAATTCATTCCCAGTGAGACAATAGTGAGCAAATGCTAAGCCTCCATCTACCACTTCTGTCAGATTAGGCATTGATGTTGACTTAGCAATGAGCTTTCTATTATCTGCGCTTGACTTTTCACCATTATTTTCCTTGTTCAGAATTTTGTCAAGCTCGGAATATTCCATAAATCTTTGAGTAGCAGCCTCCCAGGAAAGTTGATATCTTTGCTCAGGAGTTAGAGGAAAAGGCTCATTTTCTAATGCTTCTTTTACTTTTACCACAAAATCTTCAGATGAATTGTAAGTCAAACAATTGGGAAATGACCTGAAGAACTCATTTGATGGATGATCAGCGCAAACTACAAATTTGCCCATGGCAAGTGCCTCAGCTGTAGCTGTGCATAGCACATCGCTAATACTTGGATTTATAAAGACTTTGTACCTACAAAAAAGAAGATACTGTGTTAAATCTAATTTAATAAAAACAAGTTCCAGATTGTGTCTGTGTACGAAATACATGTGTAGGTAAATGTGCATTTATGCATGTATAAAAAATAGCTTTGGATATTGAATTTTCTGAAAACATAGTCAATTGATTCAATTCACATAATGAAGTTAGGGAAGAGTAAAAGACAACTCAGTTCCATGTTGCAATAGATGCAACTTTAAAAACTATTTCCCCCATTTCAATTATGTATGTTTTACAACAATGTTGGGGACCATTGCAGTGAATATATCTTAATCTAAATTTTGAAGCTCAATTTTCAAATTGTACCTACCCATGAAGAGAATCGTCCGCATGATCTCTTCCTTTCTGAAAGTTGAGATTCAAATCCAACCTTCTAGCTGCACTCTGAACTTCATTAGCATCCTCTCCATTTCCAAATACATCCAACTTGAAGCCATCAAGGTCGCCCTTATGCTTTGCCAATAAATCTATCAACTCCTTATATCCCTTTGCCCATACCATCTTTCCCAAGAAATATGCCCCTTTTGTAAAGGCTTTCTGCCCAAGCTCCCTCTCTGCAGCAATCTTTTCTCCAATTTTTAAGAACTTGGGATTCACACCATGAACATTGCAAATCACAGACTTGGGTAAATCCTGAGTAGCAGCCGATAGACGAAGAACCTGAATATAATCATAAATAGTTTAGACTCTTTTTGCCTTGTTTATTCTATGCTGATGATAGAAATCCATGACAAATAAATTTATAACAAAAAACACCAAAACCATTTCTAGTTATCTCCCAAGTTACATTGCATTTGACCTAGATTTTTTTGGGTTTCAATTTCTAAAAGGAAAAGCCAGGCCAAACACAACTTCAATAAAAAAATTAAAAAAAAAAACTTTTTTTTAAAATAAACAGAAGCCCAAAATAATCTTCGGTGGAAGCTAATTGAAGGAGCTTCTACTTTTAAGGAGAAGGGAAGCCCAAAAAAGTTGTGAATCAAACTCATAGTGATGTTAAAATTCTCATACCTTATGGCAGTATGCTCTTGTAACCCAGTTGTTTATGTGTTTCACAAAGAATGCCTGGAGTGCCCCATTTTTCTCCCTCTTGATGTATTCCAAGTAATTTGTGTGGACAATACCAACAACATGATTGAATTTGTCTGTCCAACGCTTGCCATGATGATACCAATTCAAATGTTCTGGTTCTTCCAGAATAGCAATGTCAGCATCCCTGGATGGTATAAATTGAGAAGTATCTCCAGCAGGTATTATACTCCGTCTTGCTTTCGAAAACTACACATGAGAAGGACAAAATGTAAGAATTGACAGTAGTAATATGAAACATGACACAATATAGCTAACTTTATCAGAAAAGCTACCTTCCCAGGATAAAAAGAAATTTTGAAATCTGCCTTAAAACCAATCCTATCCTCAAGCCAGTTACGTATATAAAGTTCCTGTTCTTCTGGTGAAGTAAAAGTGACATTGCTGGGATAAACTAGTTCTTGATCTGATTTACAAAGCCATGGAACCAGCAGAGTGACTTTCTGGTTTGCAGATTGTGATAAATATGCAGCTCGAAATAGTGGGTTTACTGCTGTTCCAGTCATCCAAGGAAGACTAGCTGTTGTGACTATTGCAACATGTCTTTCATTGTCTGATGGATCGTGCTTTCCATGGTCTGTCCAGAATCCGCCATCATACCGGTGCCCTGTGCTCTGAAGGACACTTGCTATTCGCATATCCAATTCATCATTTACATTTCCATTCCCAAGAACAGAAGATTCTTCCCCAGAGAGGGAATGCAGTAGAAGATGGTTTTTGCGTTTGCTATACAAGGTTTCTACTATCTTGTCACATATGTCTGCAATGCAATCACAGTTGAACAAATCATCAAAATTGAATGGCAGATAAATATAAACTAGCCGGCTAACTAGAGAGCTACAACAAAGAAAGAAAAGATATAATACTGCCTACACACAAACATTGAACTTGCACCAAATTTGAAAAAAAAAATTTAAATAACTATAAGCATCTGGATCAAGCACTAGAAATTTTCACTCGCTTGAAAAAAACTTTTGAGCAAGATCTGTGTCAAGTACATGTTCAAACCAATTGTAGATTCATAAACTATTCATTGTCTAAATATTTTTTCTCAATCCAACTGTTGAAATATAACGATATATGTTGATCTTATTGACAAATTTTAGAGATTTTAAACAATCACAAGTTTATGATCAAATGGTTAATATTTCATTTGAAAAGTATATACTCTACAATAATATTTCACTTAGCCATTTGGATGGAGTACAAAATGAAAAATAAGTATTGTAGAAAGTTATTTTGATAGAAACTCAAATAAAATGGAAAATAGTGAGAAAGAATAAAAGGACAGAACTTTATTGAAGAACAGAACAGAAATGGAGAATAGAATTCTCCCCGAGGGTTTCTGTTTCATAAAGAATCTCTCCTTTACTTGCACAAACAATCAAATTTGCAGAATCCTCCTCAAACCTTATTTCCCATATTTATAACCAATCTCTTCTAATTCACAAACTAACAACTTAATGGACTAACTGACTAACAGCTGTCCTTATTCAACTCTCATTATTTGTCCTAGCATATTCACTGACGGGTTTCGTGATAAATTCAAAAGTGAACAGCTATAGAATGAATTTTTTTTTCAAAATCTGTCGTTGGATTGAAAGTATACCTCATGTATATTGTGCTAATAAAAATCTCACATTAGTGATTGTTTCTTTTGATCTACGCCCCCGCCTTATATTAGAATAAGTGTAAAATACAATAAGCAAGGGAAAATATCTTAATTCTTGATCAATGATCACACGTTTGTTAGTTGCTTGAATTTTATTAACTTTCGGTGAAAGATAAAGATGGCAAATAAGTAAGCTTCAACTTCAACAATCAGATTGATTACAATTATTTTCAACAAGAAATTATTAGACAGTGAGAGTCAATTTTTAGTATCTTTGAACAATAGTCTGCATCTACTCACCATGTGCATGCCCTTGTTAGAGAGTTGCACGAAATGTGTGACTAGTAAATCACATTGTTTAATAATTAAGGAATGAGGCAGCTAACAATTATATCAGAAGCTGATGCCTTCCAGCTTGCCAATCACAAAACAAGAATAACACAGTAATACAACTTAGCAAGATAAATGCCAAAAAAAGAGGAGAAAAAAAGGCGAGGAATTATTGTGGTTGGAAAACATTGCATTGGTTTGTTTCATGCACCTAATTTACGAGTAACCTGGAAAAGAATGTTTGTAATAAGCATTGATAGTTTAAGGTTTAAGCCTTAAGGTTTAAGTAAAGAGGGAGGAACCAACAAGGTGATTTACAAAGAATGTAAAAACAAAAAAAAAAAAAGTCAATTTCCATTGAATGCGAAGATGTTTCTAGAAAAACTTACAAGTTCAAACAAAACATAAATATAAATTTCGAGATAAGATATAGTTGAAATCCTATATAAGTTGTGCATAACTATGTACCTCTTTTCACTCCAAGTTGGTCCAAAAATGGCCCGGACTGTTTTACAAAGTAGGCCAAAAGTTCAGGTACATCCAATGGTGGCACATCCTGCAAAAGATGCATGAAAATGTTAACCATAGTTCATGATTCAAATCAAGGTCACAAGTTCAGAGCAGACAAGAATCAGTGCTCAGGAAAGTTAATGACACGTGTTTAACAAATCCATATCATTCATGTCATGCTTAAGCAACTTGGCCCCTATTAATTTAGCATCATATCTCCAATCTTCTCCTAACTGATTGCTCAAATGTCTAAATTAAAACATTAATGTTATATGTGAAAATGGCAAATAAAAAAAAAAAACTATGCCAACTAACTTAAGGAGATATTTTTTAATATCCAGCAAAATAAAATCTAAAGGGCAGTGGGGTTTTATACCCAGAGGGGCAGCCTAAGGACAGGTGTACTGATTCTATTCAACAAGGTATAATATGTCTGCATAGTGAAAGTTTGAACCTAATTAGAGATCAATATAGCCAATATAGTGTATATAAGGATGACAGGGGTAATCCTTACCTCTTATGCTAGCTTTTGGGGTTGGGTTAAGCCCAAATCTAAATTCTAAGATAATATCAAAGTATGTCCTAACAATTGTCGTTGAATCACCTATTGAACCACCCATTATCAAAATATCTAATCTTGCAAATTTTACACTTATGATATATAGTCTATTAAGCAGATGCGCTAAAGACCCTACATTGACTAATGATATGTCCAAATTAATGTATATAAATGATGGACAATCTTCATCTTTTGAGTTGACTTTTGAAGTTGAGTTATACTCAAACCCAAATTCTAAGAAGCCTTCCAATGACCAGTCACATACAGGTTTTTTTTTTTCCTTAACATAAAAGTGAAAAATATTTGATCAGGCACGTTCATATGAACAAAAGAAACTAAACATATTACACACAAACCTTTGACTCCTCAGGTTCCTTGCACATTGATTTCTGCAAGAAAGTCAAGAAACGAGCATGTAAATTCTCAGAATAAAGGCACTTGTCAAATTTATGCTCAATTGCACCAAAAGGCATATATTACCAATAACAAAACCAGTTAAAAACACAATCAACGATTCAACAGCAACCAAATACAAGTAACAGTTATCACTTATCACCCAAGCTCTACCGGTAATTTTTCAACTATCATAACAAGAAAGGGTTTTTTAACAGAGAACAATCTTCCTTCCAAGTTCAAATTGTAACCCGAAAAATCCAACTGTACAGAATATTTTCTTTGACAAACACATTGATTCATCCAAGAAAACTCTTCCTCGGAAGAAAGAATGACTTAACTCTTAAGCCACAATAAAAAACCGCACCTAAAATTTTTCTTGCAAAACCAGACACATAAAGCAAAAACACACACGGAAACCCTATAATTCAGTTGAAACCAAGTAAACTGCTAATTTAAGGAAGAAGCACAAACCAAACTAGACTTGACTTTCTCCAGAAATTCACTGTTCTTGAAAGCATCAAAAGACGAACCACGCTTCTCAAACTCCTTGAGCCGTGCCTTCAAGGCTCGAATCGGTTCCCAATCCCTTGATTCGCCCTCGCCCTCGCCTTTCCACTCTTCCCAGAAACTCAACCTCTTCCCCCTCTTCCCGAAATCCACAATTCCCTCATCCTCCTCTGACACGATAGCGTTCTTTATAGCGGAAAGGTCGATTCGAATTCGCGTCCTAGGGCGCCATTTCTCCAGAACCTTCTTGCTGAAATCGGGGGACGAGTACGCTCTCCGAATCTCCGACAACTTCGGCCGCAGACTCTTCACGAATTCGATCTCCCTCGGCGGCGGAGAGCGCATGGCAGGCACCGCGAACGGCGGCGCCGCTGAATTGAAGAAGTTCTCGAGCTCGCGGTCAAACGACGTCGCTAGGTCCTTGAACGAGTTCGCCCTGTCCCGCATGAGGCGGAGATCCGCGTCCGCCGAGTCACGCACCTCGCGCCAGCCCTTTGAGAGGAACGAGAAGGCGTTCGAAGAGGTCGGAGGCTGTGTCGCCATGGCTCAACCTCAACGCCGCTTTGCGAGTGTTTGGTTTGTTTTCGCAGTGTGTGTTGTTTTGCAACGCGGATTGTGTGTGGAGGGAGCCACGCAGTTTTAACGGTTAAGATTTTCGGAGATTTCGGAAACTTTCTCGAAGCTGTGTTGTGCCACGTAGGATGTCGACGAGAATACATGCGCTGACGTGGAAGGGTCACGTGCTGTGGTGATATGGCAACATCCTGTTGGACCACGTTGATTTGCAGTGATTATGGATTATGGAAGGAGGGAGGAATATTCGTGCTGCCTAAAGGATATATGCTTAAAGTACTAGTATATTAATTAATTAAGGATGGTAGTATTTTTTGGACTTTAGCTTTGAGTCCCGGGTTTATGGAAGAAAATGTCAAATAAAGAAAGTAGATGATGCATCATGCAAGTGTTTTTTGGAAGGAAAAAGCTTAACATACACACATTTCTTTTAGATGTACGAATAAAAGAAGAAAAAAATATGTTATTATTAAATAAATTATTTGTTATTTTTCTTTTTCTTATTCTTCAACCTAGTAAAATTTAATGATGTGGGTAAGTTGCAATAATAATAAGTAAATAAAAGTAAAAATATTATTGAAAACAGTAACACTTATTTTGCCAAATACGGTTAACTGGATTCAAAAATTAATAATTATTCTTGGAATGTAATACCTTAAAAGTTAAAACTCATAATCAAAGCAGGGTACAAACAAGTGATGATCTGGTTGAAGCTATGTGGTTGACAAGCAATTGACACCAACAGCAACGGTGTGAAAGTATAGAACAAAAGAACCATGTATGCACGACTCTCTGTCTAGGTGGTGAGAAAACAATTATTCACCATTTCAACTATTCATAACATCCAATGAAGATATTTGGGGGAGGGACCAATTTTCTGGCAATGCTTGGATGCTTCAAGGTAAAATTCATATTCTTAATTTGACTCGTTTGTAAGGTACTACAACCCATTACCATGACTTTACATCACACATCATCGTGTGGTTGTGCTGCTCCCCCATCATGGTTCTGTGGACTACTAGGAATGTGAACCCACTATATTTTGTCCCATTGTGTTTCTTATTTTTTCCGTTTGGAGCAGCTTCCATTCAATCACGCCACACGCGTCTCACGTTATACTCTTTCAATTTCTCTATCTAAATCCTACTGTTTGAGAGTTGCAATATTAATATAAAGAAGCTCCATGCGAAAATGACATGCCATGATGGGAGTCTGTGAATGAAATGAGAATGGAATAGTGATTTTGGGTTTCTCAACTCAAAGCTATTGTAATACGTATCCGTGTCTTAGCAGATTTTTTGGGCCATTTAGGTTATCAAACAATTGGGCCAGATGCACATCAGTAAAATGTGACACCAACATTTCTACCCATTAGCATGACAAAAACAAAAGGCAATAAAAACTAACTCTATCAGTCCTTTCTCCTTGCTGTTAGGCCTTTAGGCCCTTTTATTTATAAAATATAAATAAAAAATCAGATGATCCAAATAAATAATAACAGTCTAACAGAAGACAGCTGCACATTACAAAAATCACAACAACAAAAAATAGATTACTAAATACTAGTGAATAAAATGTTGCAGAATCACTAAAGTTGGCCTAGAGTTTGGAATCGTATGCACACAATATTTGATTTGAATCTCATTGCTGTCATTATAATTTTGATTGATAAAAAAATGTTAACGTTAAATAAGCAGGAATTTACTAATAAAAAATATAACTAATCAAAAAATAAGCAGGAATTTACTAACCTCCAATGTCCTTAAACTTAGTTAAAGAATCGAAAATATGCATTTATTATATTAAGAATAAAACATTTTAACTTTTCCTTCAAGAAATCAAAAGTATTTATTGAAATATATAGACTATCCGTTCACTGCATTTAAATACTATTATAATGAAAAGGAAGACAAAAGTTTGTATTATTCTTTTTATTTCTAATGAATATATCCTATTTGAACAAACACTACCTTGAGAAAAGGAAGACAGTTTTTTATTTTATTTTGACAATTTAAAACAAAAAAGATAATAGACCAGCATAAATTTAATGTCTTAATTTTTTTGAAAATTTATAAACACGACACAACTCTATTTAAAAAAAAAAAAAAAACACCCTTCTTACCTTTGTTTCCAAAATGAAACACTCTCAAATATATCATAAAAAAATAAAATATTCAGTACTGTCTTTGAATCCTGGGCCAAGGTGAAAACCTTTACTGGAGTGTGAGTTAGGCCCAAGTCAATAACCCAAATCACCTTCCTTGGTAGCCTGGATTTGGACCCCAAAAGAGAAAACTTGCGTACGCTCGCTCGCTCGCTCTATTTTCAATTTTCAGCGGTTACAAGCTTGCATTTTTACGGAGCCAGATTTGTTTATTTTTCACGTTCAGTAAAACGAATCAGAAACTTATTTATTTCAACAAATCAGACCTAAAATCAAAAAGCCTGAATCCAACTTAAATAAACCAATATTCTGAAGAAATAAGTGCGTTTGATAACCTCTGCTAAAACTAGATGACAAAAAATAAATACATACGTTGAAATATCAAGTTTTTTTTTAAGAGTAAGAAGTTATGCACCGACATTTTAGACTGTCATTCAATAAAATATATATATATATATATATATATATATATAATAAGTTTTTAGGTAAGACCATTTTAAATATGTTAAGTTGGGATATAAAATATGCACAAACTCTCATGTTGGAATGTTGTTGATGTGGTTGTAATTTTCATAAATAACAAATGAAGACTAATAATTTACTATGAATCAAGTTTAGATCTACTAAACTTATCTTAAGTTTATTATATAATTTTTACTCTTAATTATTAATATATAATTTTTTTTTTATTCGTTTCTGGAGTATTTATCGTTGATAGCGGTGATTAATCTCTTTGCTATGTTGAAAGTACTTCAAAAGGTGAGATAGCTAACTCCAATATTTAAGACGAAAGTGAGAAAAGAGAATACAAAAGCAAATTAAAATAAGTGAAAATATGAGCGAAAGTGATGTTTAAATTGCGTTGGTAGGAATGGTGTGGAGAAGGGATGCATTTGTATGTTTAAGGCACATGATTGACGGCGAAGGAGCAGGTGGCGAAGTATTGGGACAAATTGGTCATTATATTTATGTTATCTTTCAAATCTTCTCATCATATTGATTATTTTATCTCATTTTTTTTTTGTTATTTCTTTTCATCATAAAAATATTATTAAAAAGTGACTGAAATACAGTTTCTGAATAGAAAACATGATTGAAAATGAATCCAAAAATTTATAGGTTGAATTGATAATCCAAAATATGACACTGGCGTCTCCACTTTGGTACTTACAGATGCGAGAGTGGGATGAGAATGGTGAGAAGCCCCATTAGTTTATGTTGGTTAAATATTTTTGCATGTGTACAATTGTAGATATATATGATGGTAAGGCAAAAATGTTTTGTTTGGAAGAAATTAAATTGTAGATAACCTGAGAGGCAGAAGGAGGAGGTAAAAGTATCTAGCTAGGGCGAGTTGATCCTGAATTGGTCTGCTTTTGAGTTATAAAACAGAATAGTAGTGAATTATGGTATGACAGGTGGACGCATATAATGTGGCATTAAAGTTTGGGCCGAACACATTTTCAAAGTAAGTGGAGACCATTCAATAATCCACATGTAAAAGAAACAACTGCCGCCACCACCTCACCTTTCGTATATTCAAATGTTTTCGTATTAGTAGTATTTTCAATTTTTTGTTATTATTAAATAAATTGTTCAATGATCAAAAGGTTATATTTAGTAATATTTATAAATTTTAACTTATTACTAAACTAGTCTCTTGATTCTCAAAGACGTAAAATATCACCATTTTGCCCGTACAAAGGATTAAAAGTAAAGACACAAATTAATTTTTCATACAATTTTATGAAAAAACTAACTTTTTAACTAATTTAGTTGGGAAAATAGTTTGAATGAATAATAATATGATAAGACATTTTAGATTTTTTATTAAATTACTAACTCAATGATCAAAGCTTTTTCAGAATACTATGATGACATGTGCATGATTGAAAGAGCAACAGATAAATTGAACTATATTTAATCTTTTATATATTCTTCATTATTTTAAAAATTAGTAGTAAAATCGATTAATAAAATAGAATATAGTCTCGTAAGTTTCTTATAATGTAAAGAAGTTGTTGGTTACTTTTTTGGATTTAGGAAATGATGGGTCTTTTTTTTTTAGGAGAATATTTTTATTTTGAAAATACTCCTATTTTTATGTAAAAATTACTTTATACATGGTCTATTATTAGTCTAAGTTTAAATTATTATCCCTATTAATAACATTTAGATATCTTTATTATCTTATATGTCAATGTTTTTTTATCTTATATGTGAATATTTTTCAATTGAATTTTGTGATGATCAAAATTTTATATGAAGAATGTATTTTTTTTTCTTTGAGTCATTGAATTTATTTTTATGTATAATATATAACACTGCCGTATACTAAAAGTGAGAATTTGAAACTATTTTAAAAGAATTTTATCAATTCATAGTAGATAATAATAGTTAAAAATTAGTTTTTATTCATAATTCTTAATTTTCCCTCTGTTTGACCTGATTTTTTTTTTTTTTGGGGTGTGTGTGTTTAACATGTATGAATCGATAAAATTTATAATAGAAGTGGGCTTTTATGCTGAATAGCAGTTCATGAAAAAGTTTCATCACTCTTTATCTTAATAGAAGTGTTATGAAGGTGTCTAGAAAAATCGCTTTTGAATTTCATGTGTTCCGGACTTCCGGTGCGGGGCTTTTAGCCTGCAACGAAATATAATTAAAAAAAAATTAGACACTCAAGTGTCTTGTTTGACGATTGTTAAGATATATGTATATATATATAAGTGTAATAAATGATATCATGTAATAAAAAATAAAAATAAAAATAGTATTGATTGGATGTTTAAAAAATTAATTGAGATGTTCCAAATACTTTAAGCATTAACACACTCTT